TCCAGCCATCAATTCATCCATCCACTCATCCATCCATCCATCCATCCTGGATGACTGATTGTGTTGTAAAGTGCCTTGGGGGGTTGTAGAACCCTAAGATGGCGCTATACAAATACAGGTCATTTACCATTTACACACACTTGTGCATGTAAGGTTTCTCTATAGGAGTGTTCAATAGGGAGCATGAGGGGCCACAGGCCTGCCCCCAAACACCCGCAGATAATAGAGGAGTTGTTCATCAGATCGTTCAACCTCCATCAAAATGACAAGCACGTCATCACTGGCAATGAGTGAAAAGATAAATGTGTAAAACAACGTTTATGAATGGCGAAACTTTTGTAACCACTTGTTTGTTTTGTCCTCATGAGCTCATGTAGAAGGAAATCTCACGTCTAATACGGCGTCCTCCAGAAACTTAGATCCACGCTCATGTATTTCATGATTTTTATGGTTATATGTTACGAAACCGCCAATATTTTTTACATCATTTAACTCATCTTGAGCAACATTTTGATGGTTATTTTCAGATATTAATAGTAATTAATAGTAATAACTGCACATTTTCACCTTAAAACTAGCCTAAGAATCTATGAATTTTGATTTATTAGTTGGTTTTAAGAATTCTAGCCAAGTTTTGCTTACCCCACTGGCAATTTGTTTTTACTAAAACAAGAAAATTTTGATCATATTTAAGAATATTTACCTTATTTTAAGTAAAACTATTTTTATAGAGAATAATTTTTTCTTCTTTGACTAAAAATAAGATAAAACCTGTAAAAAGGTGACTTTTTAAAACCTTTTTTAGTACATCGTTACTCATCTGCTGCCATTTAATCATTTCTTTTACTCTTAATAGCAAAACTAATTTCTGCTTTAGGAACAATCAGTATACAAACCACAAAGTTCTCCCCTCTGCAGAGATGATTGGGATTTTTAAGACAAGTTAATGAGCAATCAGAGCTGGAGCTGCTAGGCAGGGGATTTATGAACGAGTAATTGAGGAGCTGCACCATCAGTGTGCCGGCAATTCCTCCTCTTCCAATTCTTCCTGGACGATTGACCAAAGCAAATCCATAATCCCGACCCTCCATGAGTCATGAAAGGCCCCACTTGTCAGATAGAAATACAAAATCTCAATTAATCACACTGTTTACAAGCTTAATGTCTCCGGTGTGAAAGCTGCTGAGGTGTCTGGAGGGAAATTAGAGCCTCACAGGATTCGAGTAGTTTGTGTAGAGCCGTTAATAAATCATTCTAATATCAGTGTCTTATTGATCAGGAGGGGAGTGTATTTTCAGACCAGTACCCGTGTCTGTTTTTACATGAAACAGCTACATTTGACATAATTAAAGATTGAATTAGTCATAAAAAGAAAATGTAGCAGTCAAAGTTTGTGTTTCAGGGTTGTGTGTTGAGCCACTGCAGGCAAATAAAAACTAACTCAAATAAATATTTGATGTTTAAAGGTTTAATTATTTGTTTTTAATCATGATAGTAAAAGTCAAACTGGTGTACTGTTGAGTCTCAGCAAATCCGTGGAAAAAATATTAATGTTGATGTGTAAAAATGCAACATGTTTTCACAGAAACCCTAAAAAAAGTTTGCTTTTTTATTCATTCATTCATTCATTCATTCTGGGCGACGGTGGCACAGGAGTTAAGTGCTCGCCACGTAATCGGAAGGTTGCAGGTTCGAGCCCCGCTCAGTCTGTCACTGTTGTTGTGTCCTTGGGCAAGACACTTAACCCACGTTGCCTGCTGGTGGTGGTCGGAGGGACCGGTGGCGCCAGTGCTCGACAGCCTCGCCTCTGTCAGTGCGCCCCAGGGCAGCTGTGGCTACATCGTAGCTCATCCCCACCAGTGTGTGAATGTGTGAATGTGTGTGTGGATGTGTGAATGACTGGTTGTGTTGTAAAGTGCCTTGGGGGGTTCCAGGACTCTAGAAGGCGCTATATCAAATACAGGCCATTTACCATTTACCGCTCTTAAGGACTTATAAAAACAAATGGCCTCCTCAGCAAAGAGCTTCGTTTGACGGGTTTTATTCTATTCTTTTTTGGGGTAATAGAGCAACATTTCTGAACACTTAGCCTTTGTTAAATTAAAAGTTTTATCTTAAATAAATTATGAAAAAAATAAATCTCCTTGAATTATACTAAGATGCATAAATTGAACAGATTATTTTTTATAGTGCAACAATCTCTCTTTGGTTCTCAGGAGGTTAAAATAACATTACCGTTCCTATTTTTGTAGTTTTTCACTAATACTCGAGTAAATAAGCTTGTTTTTTTTACATATTTTTTCTGACATCTGACCGTCGCCTTCGTCAGAGCTGACAGGATACCCAGATAGAGCCACAGCTTGTGGTCCTCGTTCTTCCTCCCTCTCTCATCCACTGTCCACACTCCCACACCGCAAAAGCTTCATGTGGTTGATGGAAGCTCAGAGAAGAACAGTTCCCAGTTGTAAAACATAAAAAAACTGGCTATATTTACAGATTTATTAAACGAGCAACGTTTTCCCGTAGAAAATCGTTTCATTGTGCTTTAATACTTAATACGTTTAAAGCAGGAAGAGTCAAAAACTTCTATTTGAATTTAGTAAATCTTAGATGGCAGCAGCTGAAATGACATTAATATAAAGATTAATAATAATAATAATGAAAAAGCGGGTTTGAATCTGCTAATCTGTATGAGAAAGTAAGAAAGTATGTTCATTATCTTTCTTTATTCAGATTGATTTCAATCCTCTTCCACCCATGAATCATCACAATTCACGCTGAGTTTGTACGTTGATGTTAACTCCCTCTAAGAGACACTGCTGTTGTTGACCTCTGACCTTAACAAAGAGGAAGCTCCCTCTGTGGACTCTTGTGATGCTGACAGACACA